AACCAGTCCCCGCAGATAGCTCCACCCACTCTGGGCCCCCCACCCCCCCTGCCCAGGGCAGGAAGGTCTTAACTACCTCTTTCCGAGTCCAGGAGCGGAAGGCGGTAGCCAGGGCCTTGGCCCCATGCAGCAGGTAGGTGGCTGGATGCCGGCGGTTCTCCCGGAGCCCTGGGGGAAGCAGAAACAAGGTGAGGGCATCCAGGGACTGGGAGTCTGGGACACGTGTGCAGCGAAAACCCAAATGTCCAAGACAGGTTGTCACACACATGGACAAAATCCAAGCATCCAGGTTTCACGCATGCACAGGCACAGGACCCAGTTGTTCAGGACACATGCACATAGAACCTAGGTATTCAAGACTGATATGCTCACAAACACACCTGGCCCCAGTGTCTGGGTCACATACATGGAACCCAGGCATCCGGATCTCTCACACTCGCACAAAACCCAGGCATCTTGGTCTCCCTCTCTATCATGCAGACAGGCACACATTGAAATGCACAGAACCCAGGCATCCAGGTTTCTCTCTTTCTTGAATACACATGCATACACACCCTCACACCAAGCATCTGGGTCTCTCACTCCCCACACCCCCACAAAGTATCTGGGTCACACACACACACACACACAAAACTCAGGTCTCCGGGACACAAACAGAACTCAGGCATCCGGGTCTCTCACTCTCTCACACGCACACACAACCTACACATCTGGGACAAACAAGCAGCCACACACATGTACAGGCAGCCCTTGACTTACAATGTTTTGAGTTGTTTTGCACTTACAACATTTATAAATTGACACCCTGTTTCAACTTTCTGACATCAGTTTTACAACGCTTGATCCGATGTGACGCCACACCAGCAAACAAGTTCGCTGTGTCACCCATCTCCCTGGAGAACATCTGTCCAAACTTCCTCGGACACTTTCTTTAAGAAAGCAGACAAGACTCCAGAAAAACCTGCAGCCAAGACTCCTGAGAAGACTCCAGCCAAGAACCTTTCAAAAAGTCCAGCAAAGTCATCTCAAAGAAGTCTTTCCAAATCAATATGATTGCTATTTACAATATAAATACATTAATGTAGCTATATTACTCATCTATAATTGATCCAAGTACAAAATTCTGGGGTATTTTTGGTGAAAATAGGGTATCGGGCCTTGGTTCAGGAACCAATCCCCCATTTATAACATTGTTTCTTATGAGACAATTGGTTCCAAGTTACAACGTTTCGACTTAAGACACGGTTTTCAGGAACCAATTGTGTTGTAAGTCTGAGGACTGCCTGTACACACATATATACGTGGTACCCAGGTCTCTCTCACAGACATGACCAAGGGTCTGGGTCTCATATATACACATTCACACCTGCACACACACTGAACCTAAGTATCAAGGTCTCTCTGTCACACAAATGCACACACAGAATCCAGGTATTCAAGCCTCACACACAGAACCCAGGTGGTCTGGGTCTCCCGCTCCCAACCCCACACAGGACCCAAGCATCGGGGCGATACTAACCTCGGAAGGTGTCCAGCAGATGTTTGCCCACATACCAGCAGATGGTTTCAAAGTTGGGGAAGCGGAAGAGGTCAGCCGTGCTCAGGCGCCGCTCAATCTCATAGGCCCTGGGGGTGGGGGTGGAAATCAGTGTGGGGCACCTGGCTCTGGAGTGGGGCAGCCCAGGTGACAGCTGAGTAAAACAGCCTGTGGGGAGGCTGAGATGAAGTCAACTCTGGGGAAGGGCAATAGGAAATATCTGAGTATAATAGCCCATAAGAAAGGTTGTGATGAAGCCAGCTCTAGGGCAAAGCAGTGAGAAACAGTCAAGTATAACAGCCCATGGGGGGGGCTGAGATATGGCCAGCTCTGGGCAGGGCAGTGGGCAACGATTGAATAGAACAGCCCACAGGGAAGGCTCTAACATGACCAGCTCCAGGGCAAAGTGGTGGAACCTGGCCAGCTGGAACAGCACTCACTTGAGCTGCATCTCGATGTTAAGGCTGTGGAGGAAGTTGCCCCCGAAGGCCAAGCAGTCAACTGGTGTCAGCACCGCATGGATCCAGCCTGGGGAGTACACAGGGGGGGTGGGGGTGGAGGGGGAGCCTGTGGTACCTGTGGGGAGGCTGAGGGTCTAGCCCTGGTGTGGGGGCAAGCCATGGGGTTGGGGGTCCTGGGAGGCATGGGGAGGCTGTGTGGTTCCCAAGGAGCCCCATAGTACCTGTAGGAATGAAAATGGTCTGGGCCTGGTGCAAGGGCCCCTGGGAGAAGGAATGGCCGGGGGGGGTGTCCTGGAGGGCTGTAGTACTGTCTGATTCTGGCACATGGGGCAGTGAACCTCAGAGGTGGGAGGGGTCCTAAGGGGGAGCCGTGGTACTCACGGAGATGAAGAGCATCTGGCCATGGCACGTGGGACAGTGGGGGGAGACTAGGGGGTCCTAGGAGGGCTACAGGGGAATTGGGCATCCTGGGGGAGAGGGTGGGAAGGGGTCAGGGAGCCACGAAGAGGTCAGGGGGTGGTATGGGAAGATTGGAGGGCTCCCAGGGGGACTGTAGGAGGAATTGCAAGGTCCTGGGAGCCACAGGATATGCAGGGATGTAAAGCACAGGGCAGGGGGAGGACGTTACAGTGTCCCCGGGACCCTTAGTGGGGGATCCCAGGGGGCTGTTGGAGAGGGGA